GAATGTACTCGAAACCAATGATAGCTGGATATTATACTCGAAACCAATGATAGCTGGATAAAACTTATTTACTCCAATGAAAGGGTCCACCAGCGGCCGAGCGGTAAAGTCCCTGAACACTGGTAGTTCGGTCCGAGGTTCGAATCCCGCGAACGGGCTGGCTGCATGGGCGTTTTCGTGGTTTTCCCCATGTGTAACGTGTATACGAGCCAGTTTCCCTTAGAAAGTCCTCCACGAAGGCATCCCTCCCCTTAGGCAGATAGCCCTCATGTGCTTTGCCATAATTAAATACACCATACACCACCAATGAAACAATTCTTTAACTTTCTGCAGAAGTACTCGTACAGCTGCCCTCAGTACAACAGAGCACAACCAGTAGTTAGGACTTCTACTAAGAACTACACAGTGCAGTATAAAGCACATAAAAGAGTGCTTTAAGAGCCTCTTGATATTCTGAAGTGATCTAATAAAAAACAGAGTTGTACATAGTTTCCCCACAGCCCCTGAGAAATCTCCAATACCTTTCATTTCTAGAAATTACTAGAAGGTATATACGTTAAAGTTACATATAGGGATCAATTACAGTTATACAGGAACCGGACCAAAATGTTGCCCAGTTTGGCTACATTCTCCTGTTGTAATTGCAATTGCATAACTGTAATTATTAGTCACCAACTTGGCGATATCTCGCCGTTTTAGCAACATAGTCATTCCTTCAATGTTAAATACACTGCCCCTGTAATCTTATTTTTCTCACAGAGCTTCACCTTTTCAGACTTTTCATATTGCATTATACAAAAGATACTAGAGTTTCACGTATGATTTCACTAAAATTATTTATATGTATATGGAATTCATAACATTTTTTTTCTTTGTGTTTCAAAATAAAACTTAGGAGTATCTTAGAATTACTCTTGGTTTCAAAAAGTGTTTAACTTAATATATAGATATCTAATATAATGCAAAACCACAGATTTTAATAATTTCTTAATTACACCATAAAATAGCTCATTAATAGGCCCAGTGCAAACTCTGAGATTCAAAATTCTGCCGACCTGTTTCTTCCTCAATCCTAAAAGTTTTTCCACTTTGGTGGGGCCATCAGTCAGCAGAGGTACTACCTATGTTACCACTACTTCATTTGCAATCCTCATATTTCTTTGAATGTATGAAATAGTGATTTCTAGGTATGCTTTACAAAAGTAGTAGCTTTGAATGCGACTGAAAATACTAAAGAGGGTTAGGTAAAGTTTTCAGTGTTATTAATCAGATGTTTTCTTTGCTAGAGATTTTATATTTTATGACATTTTGAATACTATTTTACAGTATATGGTGTCTAAATAGAATAGAAAATTTTAAAATGGAGGCATAGAGAAAATAAATAGTTGGAAGAGATTTAAGCATGGCAATGAGTAATACGAAGGATGCATGTCACTGAAGAGATAATTAAGTTTATATCTTAATGATATAAAAAAATGGCCACTTTTTCTGCTTGATAAGGAATATTCCATATAACTTGGCATTACTCATCATAGGAGCCTTAGCAGTTTCCCCATGGATACTTCATTTCAAACTTTCATAAGGAAACTGCTGAGATTACTGTGGATATGCTGCAGGAATGCTTGCACTCATCTACTAGACATTGCTTACAAAACTTAAGTTTATTCAACTATTCGTGTATGTAGTGGCATCCTCTGTACTACTGACTGTTTATTCCTTTTATCTCTATTTCAAAATGCCCTGTCCTTTTTTTTTAGACACCCTCTATTTTGTGATGTGAGGAACCCATTGATAAATTAACATTCATTATTTTTACTTTTTAGAAATCCTATTACATCGATTTCAGTATTTAATTGTGGTTGCTTCCAGAATATTTGCATTTTTGATACTGTTGTGATAGGAAGAGAGCACAGTGAAATAGTGTCCAAGTAGCAACAGAGGCAGAAGCAAAAAGTGCACAATTTTCTAATACAAAGAAGCTCACCAAAAGAAGGTTTTGGTTTAAGTTAGAAAGGTTTCAGTTCTCAATTAGCTATATCATGAGCACTATACAAGCCATACTAAATAGACTGATCTAGAAATGATGCAATCCAGGAAGTTATTACGATTTTTACAACAGAAAGGGGCAATTAAATGACTATTGTTAATTTAAATTAAAATTTTGATTTACATATTCCCCCTTTAAATACTATACCTATGTACTACGCCATCAGTATTTCTACGTCTCAATGTTCCTACTTCAGTACTTCTAAATTTGTTTTTTATTTTGCATACACACACATATATATATGTATATATATATATGAAATGTAGAATCTCATACATTATTTGTGCTGCGCAGCCGGGGCAAGAGGAATGAGATTTTGGAATCTAAAGTGATACGTTTATTTCAGCACCCATCTCACAAGCGTTACCCTATTTATAGATATGTGTGCGTCATGCTGCTCATGCAATCAGCGATACTAATTGAAATCACGAGGTGACGCTATGTTCTCATCAAGAGTGTTCTTAAGGACTTTATGTAATATGACAGATTTATGAGTTTGGCGATTTGGCGGGCATCAACAGGTTAATATAATTTATAATAAAGAAAAAATATCGCCAAAATTTAGGAACAGGGATGCAATTTAAGCAGAGAATCGCCACCACATTATTAAGCAATATTATTCGAATTTAATTTAATCAACTGATTTAAAAATATCATTACATATATGTATATAATTTAAAACATTGTTTACCTGGATAACAATTGGACAAAGTATAATTGCCTTTGTATGTAAGGAAAACAATGTTAAGTGTTATCTATAATGAATATTTATTTCCAGTTCAAAAGAGCCACTGTATACATAGTAGATTTTCTCCCGCAAAATCTGTGAATAATGGAGATGAAAAAAAAGTGTTTTTATATGTATATTTTCTCTTGGTTTAACAACAACAAAAAGACTTTGTGGATAAGTTTATTTTCTGTTAGAAACTTATTTTTTTTTACTTAGGGCATACTCTACGTGCAATTTAAGCAAAAGAAACAATTTTGTGCATAATTTTATTGTGATTCAGCTTAAATACTGTAAAATAATAAACTAGGCTGCACAACAAACATAGTTCAGAGCCATAGAGTTGGCTGCCCAAAACTTCATGAATCATCAGTCTCCATAAAGTATGCAGACATGAAAAGAATACCATATTTTTATTAGTAAATTTTCCTTAAAAACTGCTCTTATAACCTGGGTTTACAAGCACCACTGTTTCAGAAGCACTGGTTACAAACCATTTATTTATTTTTAATTTCAAAATATCTTTCAATTGCCATAAACTACAGATATGGGAACATAAAATATACCATTTTTAAAAGGAAAATAACTTTTATTTTTCTCAGAAAAACAGAATAAGTTTAGAAAGATATATCACCTGTTTCTCCCTAAAAAATTATTAGTAATAGGAATCTGATACTTCATGGAATTCCTCTCTCCTGGACTAAGCAAGTCAGTTATCTTAGGGTATTCTTTACTGATTCACTTATATGAACCTCACACATTACATGTATTATAAAAAGTTTTGAATGTGTTAAGTGAGTGAGTAACTCAATCCCTTATTTATCCAAAATAGTGTCCTACCTATTGCCTACAAGTTAATTGTTTATAAATTCAAAAAACTTTCATGAAAAACAAAACAGTATTGATAATAAGGAAATTAAAATTTATGTATATAGTGTTAATAATCTATCACTATTATCATTATATACATAAATTGTAGTCCAGAATCTGTGTAATCTTTTTCATTGTATTTTTGCTATAAATAAGTTTTGAATTACTTGTCCTATCGGATAATACTTATTATTTATTAGTTTGCAAATTATGACCACTTTGTGCTACCTCCATTCTCCACAAAAAAAAAAAAAACAGCTATTTTACTGTTTATGCAAGCTATTCAAGAACATTCATGATTAAACCCTTAACGATCGGATAATTTTCAAGAAAACGGTCATAAAAGTGCCTATTTTTTTATTGAAGAAAATTGTATAGAAATAAATGTATGTACAATATATGCATTCATTTTCAATTTCTGTATTTTTTTTTAAGCTTGAAATTTTTAAAATATAGTTTTTTAGGAAAAGCCAATATTCAGGTTTATTTTGACAGAATGTTGGTTTTCCAGTAAGCCAGGAAAATTTCAGACATATGAAACATGTGTTTTAAACATTAAAAGATAATTTTATTAAACTTACGCATAATATAAACAATGCTTAGTAATTTTTTCTTGTGTGATAAATTTTAAAGCATGAGATGCAAAGGCCAACATCACAATCTGGACAGTAGTACCAAGTTTCCTTCCTACATCTCTTCTGGAACAACAAACTTTGCATTCTCTTGATGGTTGCCATTTCTTATCAGTCGGGGGTATCTGTCTAATAAAATGTCTTTCAATCAAACGGTTTGGATTATCCTCCAAGCTTGGCCGGCCTCTTTTTGAAATGGTGTCTGATGACTGATGCATTTCAATAAGTTCATTTACTAAAGATAAACGAAACATCAAATGGGATTTTTTTCCCGCCCTGTTTTTTGTAAATAAGATATGATTTCAAAATAGTTTGGCCTAACAAATGAAAGAATATTTTCTTATAATATTTCTTTCCTTTTTTTCGAGCAATAGAGTAATCTCCAAGATACTGGTCTACAATATCTATCGCTTCCATATTTTTATCGTAATCTGTGCCAATTGTAGGTTTTTTGACAAATTTGTTATGACACTGCAAATCTACCCTGTCATTTGTGTGAACTGTAGATAGCAAGGTAGCATCTTTCTTATCTTCATGGCAAGAATTTTACCTTGATGAAAAGCAACATTTTCACCTTTAGCGATTCTCTTTTTTACTAATTATTGAGGCATTTCTTTTCAGTTTAGTTTTACAGTTCCATAAGTGTCTGTTTGAAATTTTAAAAGCATGTGTGCCAATTCTTGTGAGGTATAAAAATTGTCTGTTATCAGACAATGTCCTTGTTTTAGAAGAGGCTTGATAACAATTTGATCACAACTTGAACTGATTGGGGCAGATCTTTATATTTTGCATCAAAAACCATACCTTTTCCAGTATGTATAATTTGTGACCATATACACCCTGAACTTGATTCACATAAATATGATTTTACTTCATAACGGGATCTCTTTTTTGGCATATATTGTCGCCATCCTAAACGACCTTTGAAAAGCGTTTCATCAATTACAATATCATGTCCAGGAGTTACAGCTCTTTGAAACAATTCATTCAGGTGCTGTAACACTGGGCAGACTTTATACAGCTTAAGATTTGGATGTGTGTTACAATCAAAATCTTCATTATCTACAAAATGCAGAAACTTGTGTATTTCATAAAATCTATTACAAGGCATTATACTTCTGAAATAAGGTGTTGAAATTGAATGTTTTTTGCTCCAATACATTTTCGTATTTTTTTTTTTTTTTTTTTTTAATACCTTGTAAAATAACTATACTGAGAAATTTAAGAATTTCTGCCTTTGTGTTAGGTATCCAAGGTTTTCTATTTTTGGATAGGTGGAATCTTGGAGAATTTTGGCATTGTTTGGCATATCTATTTGTTTCCAAAACAATTGTCCACTAAATTGTCATTTACAAAATACTTAAAATATTGTAAGACACCAGAACTTGGATCAAAATTTATATTTACCTTTGGTGTTCCCCAAAACTTAAAATGTGAGGATGCATGATCCGCTGAAGTAGACACAATTTTACTCCATGATCGTCCAGGCAACAGTACAGATCCATCATTACTGCTCTCAGATTCACTAACCGAACTTTCATAAAAATCAGTTACTTCAGAATCACTTTCAGATCCATTTATATTGAAATCAGAATCCATTTCACTATCTGACTCTGACTCCATAATGTACAGAATAAAAATAAAAATATATTTTATCACAGAACAGAAACCACGTGCATTCACAATGAGACTAAATAAGTGACTGAGCTAACGATAAAAAATTACAAAACACATAGCATAAATGCACATTTGATTAGTTCTGGCATCTAATTTAAAATAAACTATCTCTAATTGCATAAAATATTATCCTGGTACTGCCATCTGGTGTGTAAAATGAGAAATAAAACTTTTTTTGGATAAAAAGAAATAAATAGGTTTTAATCCTTTTAGCACGCTGCTTGTAAACTCTCCAGCCTGGAAAAATCATGGGCATGAGAAATAAAGGGCGAAACCTCACCCCATCATTTTGATGGGAGCGAGAAGGAAGGGGTTAAGGACTATATGCAAATATAGTTATTATTCCAGTGATAAACTGTTAATCACTGTGAACTTTAAAACTTCACAGTGATAAACTGTTACACATGGGTAGTGCTTCTTGCACCAGTATTCCATTGCTACATCATTTGATCTGGGAAATATAACAATAATTTAAATTTTTTAATTTATATTCTTCAAAGAGCTGTTTATGACACTGTTTAATAAAGAATATTTTATGCAGCAGTTCTACACTGGCAATTCCATGAATACATTTTTTGAAGACTGACAATTATTTATCTTAATTTATTTCCTTCATTATTAAATCATTCACATTTAGTCACAAACATATGAATTTTTTTTTTTTTTTATTTAGTTAAGAGGCTGTCAGACAGTGAATTATTGAACTGCAATATTATAGAAGATTTATTACTTACAAGTAAAAGATACACAGAAAGGTAATCTATGAATAATACATAATACACATAAAATAGGCATATTTTGATACTCATGCTTCTGCAAAAGGCTAAAGATGAAATTAATAATGTAGTTCATTGGGCAAAGTACTTATAATTCTCTTGTATACTTCGTGAAAAAGATTGTGGAGGTAAATGTTTCTTTGAAAAATCACACATAGCTGCAGTGTTACAATCAATGAAACTTCAAATACAATTTAACACTTTCTTCCACAATGTTAAGCTAATGCTGACATGCATACTGTTCTGAGCATGACTATCGTTTTCTCTAACTATTCCAAATTCATTAAAAAAGAAAAACACTTGCCCCATATTTTACAGAAGCTACAAATTTGTTTGCATAGCTCATCGTGCTAGGCAATCATAAATTACCGTTCGTAATCTGTAATCAGATATCATGAATATCAGAATAATTATAGAGTTGGATTATCTGATTAATATCGATATTTACAATATTCGGCAAATTATAAAAATTGTAAATCCACAGAATAAAGAGGAGGTTCATGTATCTGAGGAAGGGGTAAAGAATATTTCTAAAAAGTATGAAAATATTGATGAGGCCAAAAAAGAAATCTGAATTAAACTATGAAAGTTGTACTAAATTGTAATATGAAACTCCATCATAGAATGTGACAAGATATAGAAACCCAAAATGCTCTGTAATATAACTTATCATAGAAATACTCATAATACAACTATGGACAAATATCGTTAATTTCTAATAAACATGTCTAAATTTTTGTATGGATACTGTTACCAGAATGTAATGGCACGTCCATATGCTTATGCCATAAAACATTTTCAGTCAAGTTTGTCATAATTAGCCCTTGTTCTGCTTTTGACTTGTATAAATAGGGTCAGCCTTCATAATGTAATCTAATCTCCATCAAATTTTACAACCGCTCCACAATTTATACAATATTATTATGAATAGTTTTTTTTTTAGAGCCTCGTAAATAAATAAAATAATAACAAACATATACTCTTGTATTCAGATTCCAATTTAACACCTAAAACAGTTTCAACAGGATTTTTAGTTTAAGAATTAATCATCAGAAACTCAAAGTGTTTAATGCTGCAGAGTATTTATTTCATAATGAAAAATTATTCAAGATATAGTTATAATATTTTGGTACTCTTCTGTTATTGGAACTGTATTCAGAAATGTGCATATGCATGCACATGTATTGCATACATGAACACATACATTTCTAAATCTGGTCCTGATAACAGAAAAGTAGCAAAATTTTTCAATGGAATATAGTACACAGTTTCCATTAAATATTTCTTGTAAGTAAGATGCCAGATTTGGGTAATGAAAGCCATAAATAACATGAAATCATGTGTTCAAATATACCGTATTTACGCGAATCTAATGCACATCGTTTTTGGCCAAATGTAGTATTCAAAATTGGGGTGCGCATTAGATTCGAGTGCAAAGTTCGCCAATGACGTCAACCAAATTTCTCGACTACATTTACCGTTACATTTATCATTGACACATTATTGCACAGAGGATACAAACTGCAGAGTACGTAGTCATGAAATGGAGGACAAACAGAGAAGAATGTCTTATAACGCAACTTTCAAACTTAAAGTAATTCTTTAGGCTGAAAAAAATGGCAATAGAAAGGCAGGGAGAGAGTTCAACATAGCTGAGAGCAATGTTCGCTTGTGGCGGCAACAGAAATTGGCACTGTTTGCAACTAAAGCTAGTAGAAAGAAATTCACTGGCCCTCGCAAAGGAAGACACCCTAAAATTGAAGAAAAAGTTTTGAAATTTGTAAGTGAAAGGAGGAAGAATGGACAATCTGTGACTAGTGACACCATAAGAAATAAAGCAAAAGAGGAGGCTGAAGTTCTTGGAATACCGAAACAAGAGTTTAAGGCTAGCCGTGCAAACTTCCCCCTTTCTTAATCTTCAAACGGAAAACATGCCCTAAAACCCCTAAGAATGAAAAGCTGTTCCCAGATGATGTCCTGATTCGAAACCAAGAGAAGGGGTGGATGACGGAATCATTAATGCTTGATTGGCTCCGAAATGTATGGAACGCCGTCCCGGTGGGCTCTCTAATCCACCATCAATGCTTTGTCTGGACGCATTTCGTGGTTATCTCATCGACGACGTAAAAAAAAGAAGATGCACAGCCTAGGTAGTGATCTTGTTATCATTCCTGGAGGGATGACGTCTGTGTTACAACCCCTGGACGTTAGTATAAATAACCTTTTAAGGGGTATGTCAGCGGAGTACAAAAATGGTTTGTGAGCCAACTGTGTATTGACCCCAACAGGAAAAATTAAGCGTGCTGCAACCGCACATTGTTGCACACTGGGTTTCTGCTGCCTGGAAAGCATCGAAGCACCAATGATTGTGAATCTTTCAAGAAATGCTGCATTTCAAATTCATTGAATGGCAGTGACGATGACGTGCTCGGAATGCTGAGGATGACGATGACAAGATGAGGAAAGAAGAAATGAATCTGCTTCTGACGAAGAAGAGAGCTGCGAGGATTCCAGTGATGAAAATATTAGTGATAAAGACGTTACTATATCACTGATTGTAGAAACTGTTAGCTGGATAGAAATGTTACGATTATTTCATGTCATATTTTACAATAGGTTCCGTATATACGGTAGTGCTAATTACATGATTGTTTCACATGATAATAGCCCACTAATAGGTTAATTCTATGTTCTGCTACTTTGTGTATAAATCCATTGTTTATAAAAATGGTATCTAAAATTTAAATAAAAATCATACCATTAATTGATAGTTTATATCAAATCCATTGTTGTATAAAATAGATTCAATAAATTCCTCATATCATTGATGCGTATTACATTTGCCGACAAACAATTTTTTTTATTATTTAAAGTTTTAAAATGGGGATGCGCATTAGATTCGCATAAATACGGTAGCTGTTTTTCTAAACATACACAATAAGTTTCATTACCGAATATTTCCGTACTTTTATAATTTTTGAATTAATTCAATTTTGATTAATAATATGTATTAAGTTGTAGTACAGTAGCTTACTTTTAGAAAATTGCTTTTACAGTCTGCAAAAAATAATAAGCCCTATCCAATTCGAAGATTAAGGAACAACGCAATCATCAACATTAACTGAAAATAGATAATTAGATAACTTTAGCTGATACCGTCCGTTATATATTAAACGCGCATGCGAAAACGTATTCTGCACTTGCGCAGACGCATATGTGCAGTCGTAAATGTCTTGCGCGCACGAGTAAAACGCCTATGCACATGCGTTAATGCGGCACATGCGCAGAAAGATTTTAGCTTTGAGGTCCGGATTATAGATCATTCCGGATTATGGGTGTCCGAATTAACGACTTTTGACTGTACTATTTTGTAATGAACAAATCACATACATTTTTAAGAACTTATAGCATCTCTGTTTTCCTCATACTATCTTTTAAGAAACAAACTTCTTTTAGAACTGCGGTACTTAAAAAAAAAATCCCCCGCTATGATAAGTCAATGTTGCCAAATTCACCTTTGCTAAATAGAAACTAAATTGCTACCTTAAAACTTTTAAAAAAAAATTTAATTTTAATTTCAAATTACATCATGCAATCTGTACATTGGGCTACAGATATTATTTTTAAAAAAATTGTGTTTCATGCTTTTGTTTGGTCTACCAGTGGCCGAGGAATAAAGTTGCTGAACACTGGTAGTTTGGTCAGACATTTGAATACCGCAATGAGCTGGCTGCATAGGCATTTTAATGGTTTTTCCCATGTGTAACATATATACAAGTGTCCTCCATGAAGGCATCCCTTCCCATACGCAGATAGCGCTCGAGGCTTTGCCATAATCACATAATTTTGATACATATTATAGTTATATTTCATGATATCTGGTTTATTTATTGGATATTCTTAATAAATTTTAAAACATTATTACTTACTTGAATAGTTTTAAAGCAGTTAATTTATTAATTGACAAAAATGGCAATATAACTACCATTTTATTTTCGTTAGTATCTCATTTAACAAATTGCTGAAATATAACAAATACTCAGAGCATATCTACAACAGGTACTTGTTTTTCATCACAGATTCATTTGCAGTATAATTTCATTTTAAATATAAAGAAAAATATTTTATAATACATGATCCTTTTTGGGATACGATTATAAAAAAAGAATTTTCTTACTATTATGGCATAGCATCTCATTTCTTGCGAAATACAGATTAAAGATCAAACTAAATAATAATGTTGTAAATGCCATATATGTAGCTTACAGCATCAAATTACCATTATCTTTTTTTTTTTTTTTTTTTTGTCTCTAATTCTGAAAATTGCATAAATTTTTAAGAAATAATTTCAGCACATTTATATGATCTATTCAGCAGTATAAGATTACATGCATCTTGTACAAATTTCAATTTCACAACAGTGTTCATATACAAAGTTATGTCATTAAAAATAACAAATCCAATTTTGGAGCCTAGAAATGGCCTGTAAAAAAAACTCCTCACCAAATCTCATTCTACTGTCGGGTGAAGTGCAGAATCGCCCACTTATCGCCACCACCACGCTTTTTACAAGAGTAAGAATAATTGAATTTTTGTCAATTGCCTTTGACTTTTTAAGTGAAAATACATCGACAAAGTGAGGGGAGTGTGAAGCGAAAATACATGTGTGAGTTTTTAAGTGAAAATACATGGACAAAGAAAGTGAGGGCAGTGTGCAATGCCAAATTTGTGCAATTCTCTGATTTTTTTTTTAAAGTGAAAATAGATCAATGTGTACATGGATACCAAATTTGTGCAATTCTTAAAAACCTGCCAAGCAGTGGGCGATTCTGCACCCCATTACTGTCTTTAATAAACAACAGATTTTTTTTAAAAAATTATCCTTTCCATGTTTTGCCAGCAAGAAACGTGTAAGCAAAATATCTGGGTATTCAATGTACAGATTTTACATATTGAATTATATAACACATAGGTTCCAAAACAAGTGTAAATGTGTGTGATGAAATGATGCATGAAGGCCTACTTTTTCAAACTTCTGCTTTTATTTGCTTTAAAAAATACTTTAAGCCTGAAATCACTTTAGACTTAAGTTTCATTAAGTATAGTTCTTATTAATTCAGAAGTCAAACAACAAAAATCAGCGTTATACCTACAAAATTTTCACAGGACTAGTTTCGATGGTTTTACCGAACCATCATCTTCAGCTGCAAAACCGCAAATGAACAAGATAGGAAATAATGATTAGATAAGATAAGAAAGCCTGGACAAGAATAAGCAAGTGGCACCATCTGTTGGTGTGAAACCAGAACTAAAACATAATTTCTCTAAAAGCCGAAGGCAAATTTGGATTGGAATTAGGATCGTTAACTAGAACAGAAAGATTTTTATGAATGTGAAATGCCTCTAGAAAATCCAGTTCTCCAATGGAAGATGTTTTTTGAATAATTTTGGCAGCAGAAAAATTGAAAGTGTGACTTTCAGACCAACAATGTTGAGCAACAGAAGACCTCTGTGTTTCCTTTTTTCTAACATATGCCTCATGTTCTTTGACGCGAAATTTTAAGGCTCTCTTAGTTTGGCCAATGTAAATTAAACCACACTGGCAAGGAATCCTATAAATACCCCACGAATTCATATCCGGAATGGGGTCCTTGAGTATAGAAGTTGGAATTTTATTGATGGGAGAAAAAAAAAAAAAACAACCCGAAAGTTAAATTTCTGCAAAATATGTGCAACTTTATAGCTAATTGATGGAAAGAAGGGAATGACAACAGAATTTTTATAATCTCCTAAAATAAGAGTGTGGCTTTTAGTGTGTTGAGATGAGAATTTTTTAACTGCTTGATTAATAATGTTGGGTGAAAAGCCCCCTGTCAATAGCTATTGCTTTTAAATAATTTAGTTCTTCATCAAGGGCTAGTTTGGAGGAGCAAACTTGAAGAGCACGGAAAACATAGGAATAAAATGAAGCTAACTTTTGTTTAGTCGGATGACATGATTTAAAGTGTGGTGGAAGGCAAACCGATGAAGGTTTACGGTAAACTGTAGTACTGAAGTTGGATGTGTTACGTGTGACCAGAATGTCGAGAAACGGAAGAGAATTGCAAGTCTCAAGTTCAAAAGTGAACTGAATAGCAGGATCAATAGAATTCATTGTTGAAAGAACTTTATTTAAATCATCTTTATTACCTTCAAACAGGGTAAAAGTATCGTCTACGTAGCGGAACCATGCCGGGAAGTTTAAAGTTTCAAACAATTTTGATTCATAATAATGCATGTAGATATCAGCCAGGATTAATCAAGCAGTTAAAAAATTCTCATCTCAACACACTAAAAGCCACACTCTTATTTTAGGAGATTATAAAAATTCTGTTGTCATTCCCTTCTTTCCATCAATTAGCTATAAAGTTGCACATATTTTGCAGAAATTTAACTTTCGGGTTGTTTTTTCTCCCATCAATAAAATTCCAACTTCTATACTCAAGGACCCCATTCCGGATATGAATTCCTGGGGTATTTATAGGATTCCTTGCCAGTGTGGTTTTAATTTACATTGGCCAAACTAAGAGAGCCTTAAAATTTCGCGTCAAAGAACATGAGGCATATGTTAGAAAAAAGGAAACACAGAGGTCTTCTGTTGCTCAACATTGTTGGTCCGAAAATCACACTTTCAATTTTTCTGCTGCCAAAATTATTCAAAAAACATCTTCCATTGGAGAACTGGATTTTCTAGAGGCATTTCACATTCATAAAAAATCTTTCTGTTCTAGTTAACGATCCTAATTCCAATCCAAATTTGCCTTCGGCTTTTAGAGAAATTATGTTTTAGTTCTGGTTTCGCCAACAGATGGCGCCACTTGCTTATTCTTGTCCAGGCTTTCTTATCTTATCTAATCATTATTTCCTATCTTGTTCATTTGCGGTTTTGCAGCTGAAGATGATGGTTCGGTAAAACCATCGAAACTAGTCCTGTGAAAATTTTGTAGGTATAACGCTGATTTTTGTTGTTTGACTTCTGAATTAGTATTTATTCGGCGTGTTATTGTGTCTTAATTATAGTTCTTATGTTTAAGTGTTAAGATCGAAATACAGAAAGTGCAAAAAATTGGAATTTTCTGCAAATCGCATATTTGGAAACAGCATTACAAAATAGTTTCATACATTAAAACTAAAAGAAATATGTCATAAAAACACTGTTAACGTTCCATAAACAGAATAGAGCTTTTATTTTTTCAACTGAAATTAACACCCAATAACAATTTGCGAAAATATGAACTAATTATGATTTGCGATTTTCCAACTTCTATTTTGTCTTGCCATAAACGTTTCCTAAATCTATGTAAACAGAAAAATTCCTTTTTGTCCTTCAGGAAAATTCCCCGAGTGGGTTGCAGGTTTTTAACGCTTGTCAGGGAATTCTAACTTATTTTGCACACTGGATCTAATTTTAACTATCGAGATTTGGCAAATAATGTAATAAATATGCTCACGGAATTTTTGTTAATAGATTCACCAAAGCTGCTATTTCTTTCAGTATAAAATACAAATGAGTAACAACAGCCACAAGTAAAACATTTGATCTCCATTTTAAACCTATTTCCCAGGTGATATCTCTAAATTAGATTCCACAATGTATGAAGTATGTCAACAAGATCTCAACAAAAAGAATAAATTCAACATTTGTCATAATATTAATTACCAATACAGAAAATGAGATAGCTTCTGCATTGTTAAATAATTACAAAACATCAATTATTTATCATAAGCAGTAAATTTATAAAAAAATTAAAGGAGTTAACATGAAATTTATAGATATAGAATTTAACATATATAAATTCAGAACATAATTTGCGACCTGAAATGAGGTTGCATTTTATTTTGCTTCATTCCTAATTTTAAATCATAACGACTTTTAACCTTTCTCATTAACTGAATATCTCGAGCCTTTTTGAGAGCCATTTGTCCTGTTGCACCAGTATAACCCAACGCCTTATAATGCTGCAAAATTCTTTTTACCTTTTGGCTATTATCTGGTGAAATTGGCTTGTTTTGTTTAAAATACAAAGCTAACGAACGATGAACAATCTCAGCACCTGAAGGCAAGACGACAAAATCCTCAGAACCACTCAAAGCATCTGATACTGCTTCATCTATATCAGCAGCACTTTCATAATTATAATAATCAGCATAATCCATAAACGCTTCGCCTTCATTATACATCATACAGTGGCCTTTATCACGCATGTGCTGTTTTGCTGCTATTACAGACTTGAAAGTTCTCCCTTGTTCACTACACCACAAGCATATATGGTATAAATGTAATTTTTTAGCCAAACATGCAATTAAACCATCTAAATCTGAAACATATTCTATGTCTGGTATAAAAAAAGAATGTACCTCGGTCATGTGTGTAACATTACCTTCGGTTGAATCACTCACATTATCGCAAAATAAACAATCATTTGTGTCTATAATTATTCTTCTTACTTCTTCATCTTCATCGCAGCTTTCCCAGTCACCATCATCATCGTCTTCCCATTCGTCATCAGAACAGGTCTCGCTTTTCTTTTCGTCTTCAACAACTTTTGCTGCCTGTTGAGGTACAACGGAAACGGATTTTTTCATTCTGTTAGGTTCTCCAGCTTCCATTTCTAAATGCTTTTTCGACTTCAAGTGATTGACAAAAGTGTTTTTAGAGGAAAACACTTTATTACATAATTCACATCGTAAGAATTCTTTTTTTTCTCTGGTCTCTGCATTTAACTGAAACACAGCCGCTCTTTTATCGAATTCTTCTTTCGTCAAAGGAGGCAATTCAGCAACCCTACGTTTCAGGTTATATCGATGCCAGTCAGTTTTGTAATGTTCATGGTGTAATTCAGGCGCTGAAAATACAACCTTACACGATATGCAGGATAATGACATTTTTATTTACGATAGCTTCTTTCGGACATTCAGAACTAAGTCAAAACATATTACACAACATGCGCCACGACATTTAGAGTTGGAATTCGTTGTTGACAGGTTATCTTCACGAGAAAAAATGGGAGGAGTTACGAGATTCTCTGGGTTGCATGAAGATCTACTAATAACTTTCTCGCCAAGTAATTTGGCTTCATCGGCTCATTCTTATTTCTGGAACTGTGGTTGAAGAGTGGTCTGTTTTTGATCCGTAAGTATGCTAAAATTCTACCATAAATTTTTAATACCTTTTTAATACGTTTTTCCAAATTTACACATTTTGCTTGATTAATTTGAAGTTGTTTGTTTTTAGATGTGCGCAATGGCAAATTGGCAAATTTCAGGTTATTCGTCAAATAACCAAGGTTTCTTTATTTCTCTGGTAAGTGTTTGCTTTATATCTTATATTTATTATTAAATATTAAAAGTAATTTTTGCATGCGTATATTTTTTCATGCTCATTTTCTGTTTTATGTGCTGGTAGATTTCCTGGCCGATTACCGTGTTTTTAGATAAATGCGCCATTTTCATTTAGGTCGTGTAGAGATTACTGTTTCCATTTTTTTTAAGTAACCACGAAAATTTCTAACACATGTAAAAGCTTTACTAGTAAACTTTTGATTGAGGATATTTCAAGTAAATGTGCCATTTTTACTGAATTTGTGTAGAAGTTGCTCTTCGTTATGCCTTTTTTGAGCCAATATGTTAATTAGTTGTATTATTTTAATAATGTGTTGTTTTGCAGATTAATGCAGTTTATTTGACAGATGTGTAATGCTGTTTGTTGAAAAATGCATTAGAACAAATGATGGTAAGATCTTGGCCTAGCAAATTGGTAAAATATTACCTGCTCTTAATTACTGAATCATATTGTAGGATAAAATCTGCTGTTTATGTATGAAAATTTGTTACTTTATCTCTGATTATGTGGTATATGCCCAGAATTTCATTATTAATGATTCGATTCATTAAAATTACTATTTTTAATTGTCTACTTTGTTTTGTGTTGCTGCTGCTCATTCTGCATTTTTTTTTTTTTTTTTGGAGTAGATATAAAAATTAATTCTTTTTTTTTTTTTTTTTTTTCCCCTCCATGTCTCTTTTTAAGGCTTGTGCTAGGTAAATTTTTGAGAAAATTTCAAGTAAATGTGCCGTTTTTACTTAGTTTGCGTAAAAATTGTTCTTCTTTATGCCTCTTTTGAATAAATATGTCAATTATTGTTTGTATTATTTAATATCTTGTTTTGCACATTAACACAGTTTATTTGACAGATTGAGATGCGATTTGTTGAGAATATTCATTAAAACTAATGCGGGTAAGTTCTTGGCCTAACAGATTGGTAAAAGATTTTCAGATCTTAATTACTGAATTTTTTATTATATTCTAGGATAAAATTCTGCCTTTTACGTGTGAAAATTTGGGTTTTCTTCCGGAGAGGATCCGTTGGCGGCGAAGCGTATTTACTCGCCAAGCTCGTCAATGGCTAATCAGCCATGAGTTTAGCGGTGTACAGTTGTTACAAGATATTTAAAAAGGTTAACCGTAATACAAACTGTAAACTGAAAATCGTTAATAGCAATGAAAGGACTGGATATTATGTTCCCATAGATCCCCTAACTCCATATTGCCTCTGTCTTGCGTATGCCATTTCCTGTTTGTAATAAAAAACAGCCGGTTAACGAATTTCCGCGAAATGCGTTGATCGTAATTGACTGTCATTAGCTATTTTGGTGGATACATACATGTCTTCTCCATTTAAAGCAGAACCAGATCATATTTGCAGATCACAGCAAAATGATCTTTCATGGCAATGTTATCAATTTGTTGAAAAATAACTAGTAGTGAAATTCATATCTTTCTTTAAATAGCTTTAAGAATATAAAATTAGAAAAAATATTCCTGTTTTTAACAGTGCAGTTTCTTGGGAAATTGTCAAAACACAAGAAAAACAAAAAAGGCACTTTTACTACTGTACCTTCATTACATAATTTCAAAATGCTTTCCAAAGTATGAGTGAAAATAAATTCTCATCACATAAAGAAATAAACAATGTTTTCATTGAAATATAAACTATTGCAATGTTTGACTAGGTAAAAAATAAAGTTTGTATAGGAAATAAATTATATTCTGCTCTGACTTATTATGCATGCATAAATAAGTGTGTGCTTATGTGTGCATGTGTCATAAAATAAAAACTAACATATCCACTATTTTGATTAACAATCATGCTAACCTCAGAAACAGTAAGGGCAGAATTTAACTTTTTTGCATGTAACTCTAACAAGCATAATATGATTCATTACTTTCCGACTGAATTCTGGTAGTTTGATTTAGGTCCTAATCTAAAAAAAGACAGCTAATTGCATGGGTTTTTCACAGTGCTTCAATATGTTACAGGAATGCAAAGCCAAAAATCCCTTATAAAGTTCTCCTCAAGGCCACCTTCTCTTACGCAGGATATTTTTTGCATGCTTTGACATAATTAAAATACACGAAACCAAACGGATACATGCCACCAGCAATTTTAACCTCAAAATATTCCTTAACTAACCCTCGAAACCCTAACCTGATTTCGGTTATTGTTATTGGAGAGCTATGCTCAGTGATCAACGAATAGGAAGAAAAATTTCATTGAAAATCATGTAGGAATAGTTTCGTATAAATTATCATGCAAGTGTAGTATTGCATGTATTTATTATATGATTACTTACTTTTTTGTTATAATATTTTTATTAGCCTGAAAAGAAACGCATTGAGTTTAAACACAGATTTCAATGCAATTCAAATGTAACTAGAAATTTTCAGCATGCCTTGCAATATAAACTATGAAGCCGTGAGACCACATTTGCAACTTGAAGTAATTTAGTTACAGTCTAACAATCACTTAAAGCAGTTGTTTCTCAGTGTTCCAAAATTACAGTTGTTCAAATCATTATGTAACTACATATACATGGGAATAACAAAAGTAGTAAAATTTATCACAGATCTGCACACGTTGGTTGACTCTTTTCTTTTGACGATATTCTTAGCATATACTAAGAACATGATGCTGTTACAAAATGCTGGTTATCAAAATTAATCTCCAAAATAGATAACTTATTTATTTTGATAATTTCAAAATATTTTTCTATTCAACTACATAGAGATAATCAAATGAAGAAAATTCCCAATGCCTGTGGAAACTATCCAACATTACAAAAAAAATCATAAAAACAAAACAGTCTCCTATTCAATTATATAAACAAAGTAATTGTTCAACTTTACACAATCCTAAAAAGTCTTTTAACTGAAGACTAACTTTATATCTCTGGTCAGTGCAAAGTTTTTGTAAATGCGTATATTACAAATATTTTCAATAACACATTATAAACACTTAAAAATAAATAGCAATGTCTCCGTAAAATAATGAAACAAACATGAATGCCAAAGTGAAGACTAGATGTCATGCCATAGTCATTTGAAATAAATTGTATTGACACACATTTCACTTTGGAAAGAAGAAAGTCCATCTCTAAAAAGATGTTTGGAAATTTATAAGAAATGATCAACAAATTTACCTTAAAATGGACGTAAATCAATGCTTTATACAGTACTGCATTTTAGAATATCCAAAATGAGAATGAAAAAAGCAATATTTTCATTGATTTTTAGGAAATAGCATATGCTGTTGACAAATTCATATGTAAACTAGGATAATTCTAGTTCCAGGATATCGCTGAAATTATTTCTCCTTAAAACAGATGTGGGAAAAAACCAGCACTTGCAGCATTCTAGACCTTTCATCAGGCCTGATGAAATTAAATGCAGCAACAAATTCTTCTGAATGATGCATTCAGGTGTATGAGAAAGGCAGATGAAACACTTCTCAGAATGTTGTATCATAAATGAGTCGTAAATGCTTTGCTTATATTATGCCAAGCAGTAATAGCTTTAGGGGCCATGACAGTGTGATGGCCCAAGATACTGAGTACTGAAGATTCAAACTAGGGTCAAACTACCAGTATCCAGCAACTGTATTGCTGAACTGCTTGTGAACTTGAACAAAAGTATGAATATCTTGTTAGTGAAACCCATAACGTAAGAAAAATGGCACACTTGATAAAATGTTCAAGATTAATGGTTGATTTTGTTATGAATCCCATGGTTCTGACATGTTTTAAATATACAGTCAAAAGTCGTTAATTGGGACACCCATAATCCGGAATGATCTATAATCCGGACCTCAAAACTAAAATCTTTCTGTGCATAGGCGTTTTACGCGTGCGCGCAAGACATTTACGACTGCGCATATGCGTTTGCGCAAGTGCAGAATACGTTTTCGCGTGCGCATATAATGTATAACGGATGGTATAAGCTCTAATTATCTATTTCAGTTAATGTTGCAGATTGCGTTGTTCCTTAATCTTCGAATTGGATCCGGCTTATTTTTTGCAGACTGTAAGAGCAATTTTATAAAAGTAAGCTTGAACTTTCGATTATGTCAAATAGAATTTCCGATGCTGGAGCTCCCAAAGGTTCTAGAAAACGAAAGTATGTTTTGATGTCCATCAAAGAAAACACGAATTGCTACAAAAAATGAATAAAGCCATATCCTTTGTTTATCTAACTGTTCGGAAATCTGTTTATCAATTTCACGCTGCTCTGCGCGGGGGGGGGGGGGGGGGGCGTCGCCGCATGCAATGAACTGGAAGTTGATCTGTCAGCACTATCGTTATCTTCAGGGCAGATGTTTTTATTTTATTCAGCTTATAATTCCTTACTAAATGTAGTATTTAATCTCGATGTAGTCCGTCTTTGATATGATTTAAATCAAATTTCTCGTCATTATAAATATCACGAATACGAATCAAATAGTTTTCTGGTTGCAATTTTCTAATTTCGGCTATGCGTAAGGTATGCTTTATGCATGCGCGAGTTGAAAGAAATGTTTAATAAAGTAAACAAATAAATATTAAGCTTCTTTTTTTGTAAATTTTGGTACCCTTTAGATCATAATTGCTCATTATTTTATAAATTACGGTTTCATATTTTTAATTTTATAATTTCTGCATGCCGTCTT